ATGCTGTGACATCACAGCTCACAGCAACCTCCAACTCTTGGGCTTAAGCGATTCTCTTGCCTCAGACTCCCACGTAGCTGGGACTACAGGCACCTGCCACAACACCTGGCTATCTTTGTTTCAGTTGCTATTGTTGTTTAGCTGCCCCGGGCTGGGTTTGAATCCGCCAGCTTGGGTGTATGTTGCCGGTGCCGTAACCACTGTGTTACCGGCGCCGAGCCTTGTTCCAAGAATTAAATAGGGTAACAGTGTGCGAAGCATTTGACTTGCCTGTATAACATCTAACAACCCCCCAATTAAAGGTTCATTTCTAGAATCATCATTCATTGGCTGCCCTTTTTCTTATTTGTATTTGAGAATCTCTATGTTCTTGTAGTTTCTATCCAACTGCGTAGTTGGGGCTTCCCTTGAAGAAATTACAGAAGAAGAGGAAGAAGAAGATGAAAATAAGTTATCTATGCCAGAAATTTCATTCGCCAAAATGAAGGAAGGCACATTCCAGATTGTGGGAACAGTTTCCCACCCCGAAAGTGTTCGGCCGGAATTTGCTGTGGAGACTTACTCTGTAAGTATGGATGGTTTTTTTTCTTGGAGTAAATAAAGGGAGGAGTCACCTTCTGTCCCAACATCCAGACAATATGTTTTTACTCTTTGCCTCTCATTCTCTCTAGAGCCACTTTGTGCCAGGGCTGGGGGGTGCCTTTCTCTTATGATAGAGATTAGCCATGTTGTCTCTACTTTAAATTTTTGGCTGGCTGGGTATGGTGGCTCATGCCTGTAATCCTAGCACTTGAGAAGCCAAAGCGAACGGATTGCCTGAACTCACAGATTTGAGACCAGCCTGAGCAAGAGTGAGACCTCATCTCTAAACATAGCTAGGCATTGTGGTGGGCGCCTGTAGTCCCAGCTACTTAGGAGGTGGAGGCAAGAGAAAGGCTTGAGCCCAAGAATTGGAGGTTGATGTGAGCTGTGACACCATGGCACTCTATCAAGGGTGACAAAGTGAGACTCTGTCTCTAAAAAAAATTTGTTTCTTTCTTTCTTTCTTTCTTTCTTTTTTTTTTAAGAGACAGAGTCTTACTTTGTCACCCTCGGTAGAGTGCTATGGCATCACAGCTCACAGCAACCTCCAGCTCCTGGGCTTAGGCAGTTCTTCTGCCTCAGCCTCCCGAGTTGCTGGGATCATAGGCACCCACCACCACACCCAGCTATTTTTTTGTTGCAGTTTGGCAGAGGCTGGGTTTGAACCCTCCACTCTCAGTATATGGGGCTGACACCCTACACACTGAGCCACAGGCGATTCACTGCAAGTGTGTATATTTTTCTATGGCCACCACTCTGACCTGCTTTTACAAATTGGAATCACAGGTGCTTTAGTCTTTCTCTTGGGCACATCTAGAACACACATCTTTGATTCTTCCTGTTCTTCCAGTGTTCTCTCCTCTTTTGTGTGTCATTCCTAAACCTAGATTAGTTCCAGGAGTACTGGGAAGGTAGTGGCCTTTCATATTGTTGTGCTATTGATAAAATAAACATTGATATTAGGATAAATATTTTCAGAGGAGCTTCCTTCTCCCACATTCAGTCCAAATAAGACAATGAATGGCTACTGAATGGGTTGAATTGTGTCTCCCTTCAAAGCTGAAGTCCTAACCTCCACTACTTCAGACTATGAGCTCAGACAAAGTCCTTACAGAGAAAATCAAGTTAAAGGGAGGTCATTAAGGTGGGCCCATAGTCACCTATGACCAATATCCTTATAAGAAGGGTAAATTTGGACATAGCACCCGGGGAGAACGCCACATAAACATCAAGGCAGAAATCAGGGTGATACCTTACAACCCAAGAATGGCAATGATGGCCAGACAACAAGCAGAAGTCAGGGGAGAGGCACAGCACAAAGTCTCCCTGACAGCCCAGAAGGAAACAACCCTGCAACACCTTGATCTTGGACTTTTACCCTCCAGAACTAGGAGACTCCTATTATTTAAGCCACTCAGTTTGTGGTAGTTTGTTGCAACCGCTCTAGCAAACTACTGCAGATGGATACAAAGAGGCCTAGAGAACAGGGCTGAAGAAACCTGAAGTCTGAGGTGCGCTGTTTAATTTAATAAGGATGTGTTAACCTTGCCAAGGGAGTCTTGTCATTTCATAAGCAAAGCCATCTCCTTTCCTTTGTTCTCCAATCAAGTTGTGTGGTAAGAGACCAAGTTTTAGCTGAAGGGCTCTACTTGAATGCAACTGGTCAGGAAAATGTAGAGGAATATCTGATGCTGAAGACCATGGGAATAGCAACAATTGCAAACCTGGTTTGGAGAGCCAGGGTCCTTTTATGACAACCTTAATATCCACCCATGGTATTGCACTGTTGGGAAATGGGAGGCACGCATGGAGCAAGGAAAGACTAGTTATTAAATAAAACTTGATGATCACCTAAGTTCCTTCTGTCTACTGTATGAACTTTGTATTTTAAGCCATTAAAAGTTTCTGGATTTTTATAATATTCCCAACAGTCAACTGTACTAAGGCACCTTATATCTAGAAAAAGAATGGATTAATTCCATCTTGAAGATTGTGAAACAATCCATTATTAATCACTCATCAGCATTCCTACGTGATTCGTGACCACAGAATTTCTCAAATACTTTTTCATACAATTTGAGTTACTTTGAAATGCTTCACTCATTTTCTTCCAGAGTGTTCTAATTCTTCCCGTTCTGCGCTGGAGTTTAAATAGCATGCAGAAATAGTACTTAAGATCATTATGCAATTTATTGATCATCTGTTCCGGGCTATCTTCATAACTTTCTTTGTCACTTGTTAACTACATAGAGAAAAGAGCTAAATTTTATTTTAAATTGAAATCCTTCCAGCAATGTTTCCTGTGGGACCCCCCCCCCTCCATGTAGCCTATCTATTTTGGAAATTGTCATTTCATCTAAATGTTAAGGTTACCTTGGTAGCTTCCTGCTGCAAATGACTGTCACTTTTCTTTCCCAGAACATCTCTCGAGAAGACCTTCTCCTGCGCCTGCTGGAGTGTGACGTTATCATTTATAACATTACTGAGAACTCCCAACAAGTAGAGGAAGCCACATGGGCAGTCTCTGGTCAGTGAGGTGTACTCTTTCTTCTCCAGAAATTATATTTTTGTGCAGCTTACTTTGCTTACAAGTCAAATGAGGGCCATGAAAAAGCTGGTTTGAGACTTACTTACACCCTGAAATCCATGCTAGTAAATATGCCTGTGGATAGGTACTTTTGAAGAATAGAATAGTGTTAATCATCAACACAATGAAACATTGACTTTCAATTATTCAACCTTGATTCATTCTACAGGCACCGCTTAAGGAGGTGGGTTAAATGTACTGGGTGGGGAGAATACAAAGATAAATAAGGGTTATTTTACCATCAAGGCACTTGTAGTCACACGAGATACGCAGGAGAAACTCTAATGCAACACAGAGGGCAGAATCACAAGGTATATGAGAGAGTGATGTGACTTCATAAGAGGGGAAAGATTATTTCTAACTGGAAGGATTTGCTTCAATTCAACAAATGTTCTCTGATGGCAAAGGTCAAGAAAGGCTTGCAGAGAATGCCTGCATTTTGAAATGCTTTGGAAAATATAATGAACTCTAAGGATCTCGGGTCTAAGAGAATAAGGTGGTGGTTAGTAATTTGGTGCATTTGTGATTTATTTTCTCATTAAGTCTGGAGTAAAGAGGAGAGCAAATCAGCGTATTTGCACAATCATTTTAGACTAGAACAGGCAATAGACTGTTAATAGACTAGAACAGCATAATACATCTCATACTTTCAATATTTTTGTTTTAGATGGATTAGACCAGAGGTTGGCAAACTTTTTCTATAAAAGGCTACATAATGAATATTTTTGACTCTGCAAGGGAAAAACAGCCATAAACAACATGTAAATGTATTGGCTAGGTTCCGATAAAACTTTATTTATACAAACCTTTACCAACCTTTAAATTAAATCAACAGCAAAGCTATATATGGGCTTAAATTCAATGATATGGAATGGTGACTGTACTGTATTCAGGGAAATGATGACAAAATTTTAAATGTGTCTGTGAATGTGTGGATTCCTCAGGAGCTTAGAATGTTTGATTTCACATGTATAAGTTTGTGCCTAAATTTCTTTTAGTATGAAACAAATGAAAAAACAAAAAAACATGAACATTGTATCATCTTTTGGAGCAGGGCTTCTTTAAAGCCTCCTTCCTGCATTTTATCCCTGAGCACTTATTTTGTGCCAGGCTTTGAATTGATTTTTCCTATAAGATATACTTGCAATTTATTTTACGTTTGTAAATTTTTTTTTTTCTGAAATAAAACCTGGACATGTTTTGAAAATTTATTTATTAATTTATTTGAGACAGAGTCTCACTTTGTCGTCCTTGGAAGAGTGCAACCGCAAACTTTTGGACTTAAGAGGCTCAACTAATTCTCTTGCTTCAGCTTCCCAAGTAGCTGGGACTACTGGCTCCCACCACACTCCCTGGCTATTTTTAGAGATGGGGGTCTCACTCTTGCTCAGGCTGGTCTGGAACCTGTGCGCTCAGGCAATCCAACCACCTCAGCCTCCCAGAGTGCTAGGATTACAGGCGTGAACCACCCAGCCCAGCCTGTTTTGAAAATTTAAAAAGCATAGGAAGGCTTAGAATAAAGAGGAACAATTAACTGCATTTCCTTTCTACCTTGTCCCTACTTCCCCAAAGCAACGTCAAATTCATTAAATACATAAAAGTATCCAAATATGGTGGGCGAGGTGGCTCATGCCTATGATCCCAGTGCTTTGAGAAGCAGAGGTAGGAGGATCACTTGAGGCCAGGAGTTAAGATCAGCCTGGGCAGCATAGCAAGACCTTGTCTCTTTCAAAAACTTTTAAAGATTAGCCAGGCTCAGCTACTCGGGAGGCTGAGGCAGGAGGATCATGTTAGCCCAGGAGTTGGGCACTGGAATGAGCTATGGCGGAGCCTCTGCACTCCAGCCTGGACAAGACATTTAGACCCTGTCTTTAAAGAAAAAAGTTTTCATCCTATATGGATGCCTCTTGAAGAGAGCAACAATTCCCTGCATTTCCTTCCTGCTCTATTCCTACTTCTCCAAAGCAACCTCATTTAATACATAAAAAACCCCTCACTAACATGGGTGCCCTTGATTTTGTTTGTTTTTTTCTCCAGCCAAAACAGTAGAAGGTATGATTTATTATGTACTTGTTATCAACCCACAACTGAGAACAGAGTGAGTCCAGAATGTCAGGTCCAGGGCAAAGGACCAGTAGGACTGTTTTGGTGTGAGCAAGGTGGGTCTCTCAGGGGTGGTCTCGGCGATCAGATGACGATGAGGTCTTAGATCCACAGAGAGCAAGCTCCAGACAGTAGCAAGCAGTCCCGCAGCTTGTACTAGCGTCCTCAGCCTCTGGCACCCCACGTTCCTTCTCTGAGGCCTTCTCAAAAGCACAAGTGGGCAGTTTACTTGGACCTCTGCTTCATCTTTCTCCTTTTGCGCTTCAGCCTGAGCATTCACCTCTTCCTCTGCTTGGCTCTCATGGCGCGGAGGTTTCTAGAAAGATGGCGCTAAGGCGGAGAGAGACTGAGCCCTTGATTTTGAATCATGGACCTTGACCCCTGACTTTCTGCTGTACCGGATGTGCGTCAGCCCTTTCTTAGCACCACCCCGTGGGCCTTCAAAGGAATTTGGTCATTTGTCAAACCATGAAATTGCATTTAAAATGTGGAGTATAGGCGGTGCCTATAGTTCAGTGGGTAGGGCACTGACCACACACACTGGGGCTGGCAGTTTCGAACCCAGCCAGGGCCTACTTAAAACAACAATGACAACTGCAACAAAAAAATAGGCTGGGATGTGATGGGAGCCTGTAGTCCCAGCTACTTGGGAAGCTGAGGCTAGAGAATTGCTTGAGCCCAAGTTTGAGGTTGCTGTGAGCTGTGATGCCCCAGCACTGTAACCCAGGCGACAGCTTGAGACTCTGTCTTTAAATGTAGAGGGCAGCACCTGTGGCTCAGTGAGTAGGGTACTGGGCCCCATATACCGAGGGTGGCAGGTTCAAACCCAGCGCCGCCAAACTGCAATTAAGAAAAATAGCCAGACATTGTGGCGGGCACCTGTAGTCCCAGCTACTGGAGAGGCTGAGGCAAGAGAATTGCCTAAGCCCAGGAGTTGGAGGTTGCTGTGAGGTATGTAACTCTGCCATGGTACTCTACCCAGGGCGATAAAGTGAGACTCTTGTCTCTTAAAAAAAAAAAAGTGAGAAAAAGAAATGTAGACTGTGTCTACGGCTTCCTTCTTTCTAACAAAGAGCTTTAAATATTTAAGAAACATTTGCTTCTCTATTTGGAGGAAAGGTTTTAACAGAATCACACTGTTTTTCAGCTATAGAGTATTTGTGTTTGCAACAAAGTATAGGCAGGGACTCTTCTCTGCCTTTAGAGTCGCCTAGGTCATGGAGTTACTTTGGGTGCATAGACTGGGGGATTTTGTCATTTTACCTGATGTGCATTCTTAGATCTTGTTTTTATTACAGGGAATATATATTACATTTTACTAAAATTTTATTAAATTATTATTATTTTTTTTGTAGAGACAGAGTCTCACTTTGTCGCCTTCAGTAGAGTTCTATAAAGTAACACAGCTCACAGCAACCTCTAACTTCTGGGCTTAGGCAATTCTCTTGTCTCAGCCTCCCGAGTTGCTGGGACAACAGGCACCCACCACAACGCCCAGCTATTTTTTGGCTGAGGTTGGGCCGGGGCCGGGTTTGAACCCGCCACCCTAGGAATATGAGGCTGGCGCCCTACTCACTGAGCCACAGGCGCCGCCCTTATTAAATTATTTTTATTTTTATTTATTTTTTTTTTTTTGAGACAGAGCCTCAAGCTATTCCCCTGGGTAGAGTGCCATGGCATCACGCTCACAGCAACCTCCAACTCCTGGGCTCAAGCGAGTCTCCTGCCTCCGCCTCCCAAGTAGCTGGGATCACAGGCGCCCGCCACAACGCCTGGCCATTTTTTTTTGTTTTGCAGCCGTCATTGTTGTTTGGCGGGTCCGGGCTGGGGATTCAAACCCGCCACCTTAGGTGTACGTGGCTGGCGCCTTAGCCGGTTGAGCTATAGGCGCCGAGCCGTTATTAAATTATTTTTAAATATAGACTTTTCTTACCTCGCCAGACACAATGAAAGGAAGGTAAGATGAGATAGCAGAAAGGAATAAATTATTAGAAATGAAAGAAAATATTTGCATATATAGATAAAAGGTGTGTTCAAACTAAAATGAGCACATGGTTTTGGCCCCATTATAAATATCATAAGTTAAAAAGGATAACCCAATTAGAAGACCTCAAAGTGTGTCAAGTATTCACAAAATGGGCCAACTGAAGCACAGCATCGAAGAGAGGTTAAAAGAGCAAAATTAAATTGAAAGGCAATTTCTGTTAGTAGAATAAAAATAGAAACTAAAATTGACATTTGAAGTTGAGATTAATGTGTGAACATAATGTTCTTACACTTAATAATACTTTCTCCTCTTAGGATAGAAATCCATGATCTAAGACATTAGCATTTTATATTTTTGCTTATTGTTTGGGGAATCACCTCATATGCCTATATATATCATAACAAATGTGTCACTGAGTCCTTATGACAATTTAATTAGAGCCCACTTTATAGTCTAGATTTCTTTTTGCAGAAAATTCTACAGTATAAAGAATATTTTAATGGAATCACTTGCCAAATGCATTCAAGGAGATTCAATGCTTAAACATGTGGCCTTTTTTTTTTTTTTTTGAAACAGAGTCTCCCTTTATCACCCCCAGTAGGGTGCCATGGTGTCATAGCTCAAAGCAACCTCAAACTCTTGGGCTTAAGCGATTCTCTTGCCTTAGCTTCCCAAATAGCTAGGACTACAGGCACCTGCCACAATGCTCAGCTATTTTTGGAAACAAGTCTTGGTCTTGCTCAGGCTGGTCTCGAACCTGTGAGCTCAGGGCAATCCACCTGCCTCAGCCTCCCAGAATGCTAGGATTACAGGTGTGAGCCATCGCGCTCAGCCACATATGGGCCTTTTGCAAAGTGAAAATCCCTTTGGAAATCAAATGTTCACTTTTCTGTCTACCCCAAATTACTTCCTTCCACAATGGTTTTAGCTGAACATGGCTGCCTTACATGAACTCCTAGGAGGAGTATCATCTTCAGATTCGGATCCTCTGCCATCCCCATCCCCAGCCGGCTCCCCTCCCTGTGCAGCTGACCAGATGGCATGGCAGGGGAGCACAGGCCCAGCAGCCAGGCAGCCTGGATTGTATTCTCTGCCCCATCCCTGCCTCTATGGCTCTAGACAAACTGTGCCTGAGTTCTCCATCTATAGAAGAGAGAGAACAGTAGTGCCTTCCTCATGGTTGGAACAATTCAACAAAGCTCACACATTGTTGTAATTCATGTCAGCTATGATTATTACTATCACCTGCCCTCCAAAAATGTGAAAGCATAGTTACAGGCCAGGAAACAGGAAGGAGTCAAATGTGAGCTGAGCTCAGAAGGGATGGGGCAACTGGAGGGAAAACTGGAGGAACAGTGGTGGGGACAGGAGCATCATCGGAGGTAACACCACCCACCACCCTGGTATTATATTGCTCCTCAAAGAAGGGGTAACTTCATACCCTCTGGTAACTAACAATACACATGATTTCGAAAATGAGTTGTTCAAGGATGCAAATAACTGCTCTGCTTCTTGGCCCTACAGCACTAAATGAAGAAGTTGTCCATTTTGAGAAGCGAAAGGTGTTTATTTTAGTATCCACAGTGATGACCTGGGCACGATCCAAACCCCTGGACCCTGTAAGTGGAGTATTAGCTTTCCTTTGTGTAACAGTTCACCCTTAACACCTTGTAATCTTCGTGCAGAGGGAACTTCCTGCAATGACTTGTGTATTCTTACATTCCTGAGCCCTTTCCTATAGTAAGCACTAAACAGAGTTCGTGGACTCTGAAGCACATTCAATGCTAAGGAATTTCACTGTTTTTATGTCACTGAGAAAGCAAAATAATGCTGCCTGTTATAATCCCTGGGTTACAAATGAGATAAGTTCTGTAGATTTGTTCTTAAGTTGAATTTGTATGTGAGTTGGTTTGTAAAAACTCCTATTAATTAAACTTTCTTCAAATTACCCACTTTGGGTATGCAGTTTCTTTCCTGCTAGGATACATTATGACTAGTTGAAATTAGATGAGTTTGTACATTTTTTTTTGAGACAGAGTCTCAAGCTGTCCCCCTGGGTGGAGTACCATGGTGTCATAGCTCAGAGCAACTTCAAACTCTTGGGCTCAAATGATTCTCTTGCTTTAGCCCCCCTCAAACTCTTGGTCTCAAGAGAGCATCTTGCCTTAGTTTTTCTATTTTTGGTAGAGACAGGGTCTTGCTTTTTGCCTCAGTCTAGTCTCGAACTCGTGAACTCAAGCAATTCACCCACCTCGGCCTTCTAGAGCGCTTGGATTACAGGCGTGAGCCACTGCACCCAGCCACACGTGGTTATTTTTTGAGATGAGGTCTCATTCTGTCTCAGGCTATTCTTGAACTCATGTGCTCAGGCAGTCCACCTGCGTTGGCCCGCCAGAGTGCTTGGATTATAGGCATGAGCCACCATGCCCAGCCTGAGTTTGTACATCTTAACAGGGTTTGAGACCATTAGGCAGCACAGCCCCCAAGTTTTTACTGATTTTTACTTCAGACTTCTGAGAGGAAACAGAACGATTTTGGCCAAAGGAGTGAGCCACTTGAGGTCTTTGTTTAGTCAGTTTCCCAAAGATAAGTCTGTCAGTGTAAAGCTATGACTCCATAATGCAACTCAGAAGAGAAAAGTGAACCTTAGATTATTGTAGATGCTGCTGGTTCCCCGACAGCTGCCCTATTGTCCTCCTTGCCAGCAGAACCTTGATTTGTTCAGGTGGCCACACTGCGCAGGAGATCCAGGGAGGGAGCCTCTGTCTCCAGCTCTAGGGGGAAATCCTAATTGAGCCAAACCATCCATGGTGTTCCATTCTTCTTGTTAAGGATTGGCTAAGGGATGGACATACAACTCAATTCTGGGAGGTAAGGATGTAACAAACAAACCCCCCAAAATATGACTTCAGCATTGTGTAAAATGTTCAACAGATGTTCCGGATAATCGAGTAAGACTCCTCCCAACTCTGATTTGAGAGCCAGGTTCCTTCCTCTATCGCTCGGCCTCCTACCAGGGTTGATCTGCACTCCTGCCTGAAGTCTGACGAAGGGGGAGAAACAAACAATCACACATTGAAAGCTTTATGAACCTCCTGGAAGAGGTGCTCATCACCTCTGCAAATTCCTTCCACTGAAACCCAGTCCCACAGCTTCACTGACTGCACGGGAGCCTGGGATACGTGGTCAAGCTGTGTGCCAGGAGACAAGCTTGGTCTGGTCTCTGGCACAGAGGACAGTTGGCCAGGAGACTTCCAAGAAGGGTCCCTCCCTGCGACTTCATGGTAGATGCAGCCTTTCTTTCTCTGGAGACATTGTCAAATCTGGACGTGAAGTTTGGAGGTGTGACCAGTTTTGCTATAATCCTGAACGGGAAAGCCATACCTAGAGGGAGGAAGAGCCCAGCAGGGCATCTGAAGAGCAGAGCCAGGCCAGCCCAGCCTGCCTGGAGCCACCCTGCTCAGGATGTTACTGTGGGAGATGACAAATCCTCTGGTGTTTAGGTCGTGGAGTTTGATTTTCTGATATGCGTAGCCAAAAGCATCCAAACAGATACAAAACTGCGTAAGAATTAGTTTTGATATAAAAGAAGGGTGAATATAATAGGATAGTTTCATTTGTATTAATTTCAGTAAGTAGGAGAATCTTAATATACACAGGGTTCCCCCTTCCCTTAGCATCCACCTATTTTTAAAAGGCTTGCTAGTACTTGTTTCTGTATGTGTGAGTAAAGAGGGGTAACCAGGTGACCCTGATTTGGCCACACAGTCCAGATGACAGGCTCTGGTTCTCATACATAACAACCAGGCAGGAAGAGTCAAACTTTCCCCTTGATTCAACTGGGCTCTGTGGCTCACACCACCGGTAATCCTAGCATTCTGGGAGGTTGAGGGGGGAGGATCTCTTTTTTTTTCTTGAGACAGAGTCTCACTATGTCGCCCTCAGTAGAGTGCTGTGGTGTCACAGCTCACAAAACCTCAAACTCTCAGGCTTAAGCAATTCTCTTCCCTCAGCCTCCCAAGTAGCTGGGACTACAGATGCCCGCCACAACACCCACCTATTTTTTGGTTGCAGTTGTCATTGTTGTTTAGCAGGCCAGGGCCAGGCTCCAACTCACCAGTTTCGGTGTATGTGGCTGGCACCCTACTCACTGAGCTACAGGAGCCCAGCCTGGGGAGGATCTCTTGAGCTCTGGAATTTAAGTCTACCTTGTGCAAGAGTGAAACCCCATCTCTACTAAAAACAGACAAAATTAGCTGAGTGTTATGGAGGGCACCTGTGGTCATAGCTACTTGGGAGGCTGAGGTAGGAGGATCCTTTGAACCCAGGAGTTTGAGGTTGCTGTGAGCTAAGCTCATGCCACTGCATTGTAGCCTGAGGCAACAGAATGAGATTCTGTCTCAAAAAAAATTTCCCTTTGATTTTTCCATACATTTTAATTTAATTGTTTGAGATGCAGCCCTCCTTGGGACCGCATGGGCGAGTGAGCTGTGGTGAGAGCGAATAAGAAGTACAGCTGAGTTGGCTTAGCGCCTGTGGCTCAAGTGACTAAGGCACTAGCCACATACACCTGAGCTGGTGGGTTCAAATCCAGCCTGGGCCCACCAAACAACAATGACAGCTGCAACCAAAAAATAGCCAGGCGTTGTGGGAGGCGCCTGTAGTCCCAGCTTACTTGGGAGGCTGAGGCAGGAGAATCACTTGAGCCCAGGAGTTGGAGGTTGCTGTGAGCTGTGATGCCATAGCACTCTACTCAGGGTGACAGCTTGAAAAAAAAAAAGAAGAAGAAGTACAGCTGAGTGACTATCAAGAAATATTTTTCATCACTGATTTCCGGGTCAGCTGATATCTTACCTAGAGAAACTAGTTTTAAAGCAACTTTCACATGGAATGCTCTTCTTAACATGCTTGATCAGGGGAAGGGCCAGTGTGAAAAATAGAAAAAAAAAAAAACCAATTTAAATTTAAAAAATAAGACTACTACATTGCAAGAACTATTAAGAAATTGTTTATTTAACACCTTTATGGAATCACAGTGACAACCTGCCTCCATCTCTGCAAAATAAAGTCTCTACATTTAAACTTTTTTTTTTTGGAGACAGAGTCTTACTTTGTTGCCCTCAGGAGAGTGCTGTGGCCTCACAGTTGACAGCAACCTCAAACTCTTGCCTCAGCCTCGCAAGTAGCTGGGACTATTGGCAGCCGCCACCACACCCAGCTATTTTTAGAGACAAGGTCTTGTTCTTGCTCAGGCTGGTCTTGAACCCATGAGCTCAGGCAGTCCCCCTGCCATGGCCTCCCAGAGTGCTAGGATTACAAGCATGAGTCACTCACCCAGCCTTTCTACGTTTAAACTTTTAATTTTGTTTAGATTCAATTTAAATTATAAAAATTGGACTGATAAAGTATTTTTAAGAAAAGGAAGACATTGTTAAGATAAGCAGTTGTGGCTCGGCGCCTATA